TAACCAGAGTGGGACCCCCTCTGGGTTCATTGGCTTCATCTGACCCACTCTTGAAAATAGAAAATCCCTTCACCTCCTTATCTGAATAATCCAAGAATTATAGGTCATTGGGAGACAACCAAATATATAAAGAAGCTATGAAGAAAATCTTTGTTAATTGCTGTCCTGGAAAGCATGCTAACAATACACGTGAGTGATTTCCCCTGCCCCTACACTGGTCTTTCTTTGACTATTATTAAAAGCAGTATTTTTATTTCTTTGTAGAATACAGGGTCGATGCTATATTTCTTAATTCAATTAGCAACAGGATATGTTCAGTCCAACAATGGAACTCTTGCATTGATCTAAGTTTCAAGGTACCTTTGGATTTAAGTGTGAGGGTTCTTTTCTGCACAATTTAGCACTTGACCAAAATTTTCAGAGTGGCCAGGCCTCTGTAAAGATGGCCCTTTTCCTAGAAAATGACCATAGTGCCCATAAACATATACTGTTTTGGAACTTAGCACACTGTGACTTATGGTCCTATACTTACTTTGATGTGAATTTTGCACTTTGACTTTCCTTTGTCTGTATCTTGGACTTTAGGCTTATGACTTTTGATGTTAGACCAACATCACATCTTGCTTTTGTGCCTAGCCACCTCATTTCTCTAATTGTAAGTGCTGAGTTAGTATTATTTCTCACAAGATTACTATCCCCCTGTGTGCATACAAATGATATGTGAAAAGGACTAGGGAGACAGAGCTCTTGGGTATTCATGGCAGATAGGCACATACCAAGGGCCAAGCAATATGGTCCATTTGTCTATACCATGGAATCTGGGTGGATTTGATCCTGATCCAAATGTCAGGTATCTAAGTGAAGAAAAAGCAAAAATTTCAAGGCAGAATTATAGAGCGTTAAACTTTGGCAAGCACCTGCTTGAAATGTCCTTCTAGAAAGCTTAGCTCCTAACCCTAGCCCAACAATACATCCTCCTCACACATCCCAGAATGTAATGGCAAGTGCCAGCAGAGAAAAAGTTAAGTCATGTCAGTGTCCTTCTGCATCTGCTTTCACAGCTTATTCTAGCCTGATGCAATATGAAGAGGTTGAGATTAACCCCTACCATCAGTCATATTGGAAAGACTAATGTGACTTGCACCGCAACACTGAGTCCTTTGTAGTCTGATGTTTAACTATGTTGGAATGTTATTCTTTCCGTTGCCTTTATGACAGTACTTGGATTTGAAACCACTGGCTCTTACTCCAGTACAAAACTCCATCTACCCTTTCTTTTATAGACTTCCAAATAGTCAAACTTGTTTTCTTCTACAGATTTCCACTGAATAAGAGCAAGGTGAATGTTTTACCAAGTGACTAGCTCTCTTTCAGACTAGTTCCAGGGGGAAGCCCCAGTTCCCATGCTGAAGACTAAAGACCACTCCTGAACTTTGCCTCAACTTCCTAGTGTGGGGTCTCTTTCTAGTGATGTGGCAGACAGGAGATGGTGCCAGGCCTGGGGAAATAAGACATTTGTTTTGGAATTCCATAGACTCTAAACATTGGACCACCACCTTCTAACTGTCTTTAAAACCTTTTGCCTATAACAGTTGCAAGCTGTGGTTTTTCTGTCTGTGTGAGGTGACTAACAGCGCTGCTGTGTGGGGAATGTATTAACCTTGCACCCAAACCACCCACTGGCTTCCGGTACCTCTTATCAGCTAAGCCATCAGCTATGAGCTGACATTTCAGCATTGAGAAGCTCCCCACCCCCACCAAAAGAAAAAAAAAAAAGTGACAGGAGGAGAAAAAGGCTCATTTGGCAATAGTTTGCTCTTGCTGTTTGGCCTGGAGAAAGACATTCAAAGTGGTAGAAGATTGTTTAGTAACAGCTGGCGAGCACCAGGGTGTGAGGCTGATTTTCAGATATGACAGCCACTTACAGGAATGCTGCCAGATACAGCTGTTTAAAAGCCTTAATAAACAGCAAGTCAATACTAATCTTTGCCAAATTAATCTTTTCCCTGACAGCCCATCAGAGCAATTATGTTTGGGCTTATTGTAAACACACAATTGTCAAACAGGGACGCTCCAGACTTAAAAAAAAATACTGTAGTTTGGTTCATAGTCTCTTTTGAATGGTATTTTCATTTTCTCTCTACCATCGTCTTTCTACCTTACTTTTTGGTCACCACATATCATTTTCTTCTGGCCTTATGTCAGTGTGAATGAAATTTCACTTTCAAATGTCTTTGCTAGCACAGGAAGTTAATAAAATGTGAAATGATTCGTGCTGGTGGTCTTCTTTAATTAGCCACAGTTCTGATGGAGTTCCAATATTACACAGAGATGCTCTCAGTTGTCTCCCATCCGGTACCAAGGACTTTGCTTCTTCGGAATCTACTGTGGTGCAGTCTGGTGCTGGATACAAAATGACAAGATGTTTGGCTAAATATGAGATGAGAAGGCAGAGTCGAATCTCTTTGTACATACTAGACTGCCAAGAGCATCCAATTCAGTTCTTTATGACTCAGCTCTATAGTTTCCTCCTCCTGCAGTTTCTAGTCTTGCTCCTTTATGGTTGATGAGATTTGGAGGATTCCACATTCCCTTTCTCTAAGTAATAATCTTGTCCAAGGATGTGAAGACTTTTTTGTTAGGAAAGTTTTTCCCATACTGACAAATGGGGCCAAATGAAAACATGGAAATCTCCTTTGAACATCTTAACAAAGAGAACCAGTTCATGTGATCCTGGTGTTGTTTAGAAAGACTCCAAGGAAAATAAGGTCTGCTCCTTGCTTCACCAAATCATACTCACACTCAGTTGTTAGAAAAACAAAACAAAACATAGTGTCCTGTTCATCAGTGTTTTAATTTAGCATTCCATAAAACTAGTCTCCTGAAATTTCTCGTGTTCAACACTCCTACATGTCTAGCACCTTCTTTCTCCCTTGCTTCTTACACTCTTGATGGGATGAGTGTGTATGAAATCTTTTACTTTTGTCACAACTAGAAAAAAACTCTTGTTCAATTTTGTGGGCCAAAATAATATGGTAGAACTCATTTTGAAATTCTTTCAATCTTTTTGTAAACTTAGGTTTCTTAGAAAAATATTTCCATCTTCTTCGCCCTTGAATGCTTGTCTGTAAGCACGTATATAATTCCCTTTTTATTTACAAGCTTGTAAATCATCAAAAAAAAAACATGAAATTCCCATGGAGGAAAATTTGTGAGGTTGCATTGATTATGATCACATTTCTTTGGTACCTACTATGTACTATGATATTCCAAGTTTTTTAGGAGTCAAAGAAATTATTCAATTTCAAGTAGTCAAAAAGAGATTAGTACTGTGGGGTGTCTCACACGAGGCATTAACTGGAAGTGACTGAGAGTAATGTGTATTTAGGGGTTAGACTCGTGAATCAATCTTTTACCTTAACTTGCCACATTTCAGTGTTTAATCATCAGCAACTGAGATGAATTTTCTGTTTCTATCTTTACTTTAAAATGAGAATCATGAGTAGAATAAGAAAATTCAGGTCAAATCCCCATTAAACAAATAATATGAGATCATCTATGTCTAACAAACATTTTCATTTTCCATCAGGTAACCTATTTATTACAAATTTCCACATAAACAATCTCATATAATAAAGAAATAATGATGGTTACTAGGATTGAATCTGATAATTTAAAATATTCTTTGTTTAATATGACATAGTAATCTAGGATGAATTCTAAATGGAGCAACTTATAAATAAGCATGACCAATTACTTTGAGTCTTTCCACTTAGGATTTTGTAAAGTACTTCTAATTCCATTTGAAATTATATCTTAAGTTGTAGCTAAAACTCTGTTGTCTCTAGTTCCCACAAACATCTGGTGAAACCATAAGAGATTACCACTGATGTAGATAAAGGCTCAAACACTGGCAGTTTTCATATGGTTCAATCTAATGACCTTTCAGTGAGGGAGGCAATCTTTTGCAAAGTGCAACAGGCCCATGGAAAATGGCGATTGGCTACTGATGTGCTAATTCTAAATTCTGCCCTCCTAAATTTTTAAAAATTTCTCATCAATGAAATCTGAGAAAGGATACATTACTTTTGTTTAACACGGCTTTCTATGGACAGCTCATGTCCCATGAAGAGGGTACTCTTTGCATTTTAGACAACCAACAAAAATAATTACAGAGAACAACTTTATCCTTAGCTATATATGTGAACTTGATCAACTAGAAGTCATTATTTGACTCATTTTTTTTTTTTTATTGTCAGCTCATTCCCATTTGGATGGGAACTGGGATTTTAGACTATTGTTTCTTGATTTTTAAAAATATTTATCTATTTTTTTTAGTTGTAGTGGGACACAATACCTTTATTATATTTATTTATTTTTATGTGGGGTTGAGGTTCGAACCCAGAGCCTCGCATGTGCTAGGCGAGTGCTGTATGGCCGAGCCACAACCCCAGCCTTTCTTGATTATGTTAGAGATTCAACTTACTCCTACTCACTGTCATGTTCTTTTTTAAAATTTTTGTGCTTAGCTATAATTCTGATTGGGGACATGTTGGTGAAGATATTTTCTGTTCAGTATTATTCCTGAATTTCTTAGAATGAGTTGATTTATGGTTCAGGAATCCTTTGATGTACTTCAGCAGAGAATTCTGTGTATACCACTACTGTTCCTCTGAGTAATAAACTATGGCTACCTTGATGGCTGCTGTGCCCTGAACTGGCTTTGGGCCTCTGGCTTCCTCAAGGACAGTGGACTTAAAGATGGAGCACTTCAGGCAGAAGTAAAGATGGTGGGTTTAAAGATGGTAGATTTCTCAGGCAATGACTCAATGTGGAGGGCCTCAGATTGGTGAGAGGGCACTTTCAGAGTTTCAGGAAAGAATACATGAGGCCATGGTAGCTGCTAATCCCTACTATGCCAATTCGATTCTGCCCTGAGATTTATTTGGGATTTCTCATTTGGGCCTGTCTTTTAGAGACTGATGGATCACCAAATAGAATACGGTCACGCATGGTAAGAGTTTTTATTGATGATGTATTTTCTTTTATTTACATTTGTTTTTACTGTATTTGGTATTAAATTTCAACACTCTCTCTACCCTGGTTGCACACCTGCTCTGGAGAAGCTGTAAACAACATCGCACTTCCCTGTACAAACCGCCTGTCGAAGTCAAAGCTGCTTATTCTCATCCCGGTAATTACCTTCTCAGTTTAGACTTAATGCAAGAGAAATTTTTACTTTATCATAATATAATCAATAAAAGACATTAGTTAATTAGTAGTGCTGGTATATTTCTAAAATACTAAACAGACAAACAATAAACTGTGAACTTAATCACATGAGTTCTTATACAGTTTCAAGACAGGAAAATTAGAGCTCTCAGCTACAGTCATTTTAATAATCACATTGGATCTGCATTATTTATTAGTTATTACATGCTCAAGTGACTCAAGGTTGTACAATGCCTAAAATCATTCCAAAGCAAGCACACCTTTTGTCTTTTTAATTCTGATTGGGTTACATAATGCATATATTTGTATTTCGTTAAACTGCTAGATTTGTTTCGCACATTCCATGAAAGAGACATTAACCATTCTTTTGATTTTCAACCAGGTTAACTTAGTTGATAGTCTCGTGTAAGGGAATGATTTTCTAGCTCTTTTTTTTTTTTTTTTTTTGGTGTAAAATCTATGCAAATCCTCATCCAGATTTTCAAAATTTTTGGTCCCCCTAGCAAATCTCTCAGAATTCTTTTTGGGAAGAGAAGTTGCTTCTAGAGACACAAGAGACAGCAAGACTGTCAGTTCCATAAAAACAGCTCTCAAATTTGGAATGCGTTTCCTTTCTCTTTTGCTGTCTGATTACTCACCTTTCATTTCTAGGTTTATTCCTAACAGTATGCTTCCCTTTTGTTCCTTCCTTTGCATGGATCTGTTCTTACATGTTTGGGAGACTTTGTGAGAAGCATGCAGCTTGAGTTTTAGGTGACTGGACTTGAATTTTATGGTGTGTGTGTGTGTGTGTGTGTGTGTGTGTGTGTGTGATTTTCAGAATTGACTAAAATCAGCTGAGAACCAAAAAGCAACTCTTTAGGTAGAGGATGTGTGTGTTTAGTCTTGGAGCTGTGTGACTTTGGGGGCAATTTTCCTTTATATTGAAGAAGAAAGAAAGTTCTTAAGGAGAATAGTTTTTCATTTGCATCAACCGAAGAAATGCAGAAATAAGGACTGGTTACTTTAATTTGCTGCTAAATGAAAAGCAGGTTTGGCTTTATTCATGTCACTGTAAAAACTAAATAATAAAGTATTCACACCAAGCGTGAATTTTTTTTTTTGCCAGCAAAAGTTAAAACATCAAAGAAACCTCTTTCAAATACTAACAAATTTACTTACAAACACCTATATTTATTATTTCATAAATAGGCGCAACAGGTTCCATAAAAAAAGATTAAATACAGACACAGTATGAAGAAACAATAATATAGAGCCATATGTAAAGGTTATAATTTAGCTGTTTCCAATCTGTTTCTGCAACTAGTAAGATACCAGGTAAGCATTTGGCAGTTTTATACATAAAAGGACTTAAATGACATTTACTAACCATTACACAAAAAGTGATACAAAAAAGCAATTTTTCTGCAGTACAAAATAAATGGGTTTGCGCTTCCCTTAACACTAGTTTCTTTTTGTCTGATCAATGAGACAAAGCCAATTTGTTTTTAAATTAAAATCATTTGGGAATACTTTTTTTTTCAAATATTTTGAAAATATAGAACTATTAGCTGTTTTAAAAATGAAGTAAAAATATGAATGTTTGCCAATTTAACCCCTATCGTGAAATCAATAAACTGGGATGAGCCAGTTTCAAATTACAATTTAGCTACAAAAACATTCACATTTTATACTCTAGGAGAGTGTAACATAGATGCTATTTACAAACTTGCTATGACTGCTACATCAAGCCATTTAAAAAGTCTTTAGTAGTTTCATATAAACACCCATTATGAAAACCAATGGAAAATCCAGGACTGTTATCCGAGACATCTACAGTTGCTAAGGCAGTTACTAGGGCGCAGCACTTCACAGCAAAAAAACAACATAAAATCTGAATGGTCCATATTTCCTTCGGGGAAGGAGGAAAAACAATGTCCATAAAGGATTAAAAAAATAATAAAGAAGCATGACTATTTCTTCCAGAGTGGGTGACCCACAAGCTCAAATGGTCCTAAGTGCTTAGCAACTTGTATTTTCTAATAAAATGGAGAACTGCCTTGGCTGTACAAAGCAATCCATGGTGAAAAGACTTCCCTGAATTCCTCAGTGGAAAGAAGAGGTGTTCAGATTTTCAGGTAAGGTACAGTGCTTTGTCCCTCTGCATGCCCCTGTGTGGAGAGAAAACAGACAATTTCTTGTTACAAGACAATCTGCTTCAGGGGACAGCGGGGGTCAATGGCTTTGAGTTATTTGCTCTAGCTCGAGGGATGGAGTTATGTACTGGGAAAGGGCATGGGTAGTTAACCTACATCTAAAGCGAACAGTGATCTAAAGGTATTCATTCTTGGAAGATCTAGAAGATGGCTTAAATTGTTTCTGGAGAAATGTCTTTGTCTTTCCTGAATGAACAACCATCCCAGAGCCATCCCTGACAGCAGTTTTGAAAGCTGGAGTAAAACAAGGATCCATTAGGACGCATGCTATGAATGCTGTTTACCACCAGGTGGCGACGGCTGGCTGCTTACCCACTACTGCAGTAGTCGTTATTCCAATCCACAGGCTGTGGGGGAGGATTTCTGCACCCCGAACGCACATACTCCATTGCTTGGGTGACAACTTGTGCGGCTGTGGATGTAGGATTGATAATAGTCTGATAGTCAGGTTGAAGAGTAAATCCCTGAAGGGGAAAAAATGCAAGTCCACAAATAAGGATCAAAGTGCCTTTTAAAGAAGAAATGCAACTAAATATTTATTAATTCTTTGCAAACACCCTAGACCTTGCTCCTGTCACTGTCAGGGCAAGCCTTTGGGAAGGGCCCAGAGAACTTAAAACAAATGCAGAAAAGAAATGCCCCAAACTCGGGTCTACTTACCTTTCCTTCATCTAGCCATGTGTCAGAAAACCTTTAATTATACTCTTGAGCAGATAAATTGACTTGAGAAACAATTTAAAACATAGAGAAGCTAACTCAATCAAAACAAAGGGAGAAAAGAGCTTAAACCCCTCAAAGTTTGTTTTCTATCAAACCTAAGGATACATTAATAGTTAATCCCCAGAATATGAAACAGAATCTTTTTTTGAAGGATTCAGGCAGCAGGTGGCTGAGTGTCTTATTAGACTACACCTATTCACATATTGTTCTCAAACCCCTTTTTCTTCATTCAATCACAAAGGGACCATCTGCTTCTTCTTTTATTTGTATTTCTTTCTCAGCTAAAAAAATTCAACCAAAGCTTTTTAACAGTTGTTGGACTAATATAGGGAAAGAGATGCAAAACAACTTGCCATTCGAAAACAGAGAGGGAAAAGTGTAAGACAGAGAAAATATTTTTTAATTGAAAAGTCTATTAACCAGCAAACAATAATCGGACTTCAGGAAGATTCCTTGAATTCACTAGTATGGTGAAGTGTTGACTTTTAATCCTAGCCAAGCTATTAAAAATTCAAGGACAGAATCTCTGAAGTATATAGCTATATCTTTTTACACAAAAAGCATTATATGCAAATATTTATTTTTAGCTTATGTGGTAAATTCAAGAGCAGCATAAGCAAGCTTTGCTGCAAGTGACTGAAAAAAGCAACTTAATTAATCTTGTGGTTGTCTTGCAGCAGATTCCATCCATGAGTTTTAACCACTGAGAAATCAAGAGATTTCAGAATCAGTCCCTATTTACTTGGAGGAAGTTTTTGATGACCTAATATTGTTGAATTTTTATTTTTCTTAAACTCAGCAGGATACTCAGAGGATTGATTTTTTTTTTAACTAAGGATATTTCCTTAGACTTTAGTTTATGTTTGGATGTCCCCAGTGTAATGACTCCAAGACAATACCTACTAGCAACTGTCTTCAACTCTCAATATAGGATTTAAGATATTGATTTAGTTTCCATTCAAATGATAGACTTGGAACCAATGTCTACCTCACTCCCACAAGCAATGGAGAAGGACAAAATTCTGGATATTTGGAAACAGTCATTGAAGAGTGGAGAATTCATCCAGACTAGGTGTTTGTACAGACTAAAAATTTCCTAAGTTAACAACTGATTTGTGGGAAATAAGTTTGTCTGTGTACACACCACCTCTAGCTCAAAGTGCAAATGTCTTCCAAATGAGAAAGTGAATAGGGGTCTAAATGGTAATTTGGGAGTCTTGTCATTTCCAGGCAGAAATCCTCTTTCTCTGGACTTGCCCAGATTTCTAATATGGTGGGAGTCTTTAATGAAATGTCTTCATTTCCTTAGAATCCTGTCATCTTGTCCAGCATTCTTGACTTCTTTCCCTAGTGTCTAGTGTGCTCCTGGGCAAAGGGCAGGAGAGAGCTCTGAGGGAGCATTGTATTGACTTCCTTTATTAAGTCCCCCTTGTAAGGCTGCCTTAGGGGACCCTGAGATCTGACGGTATTTACAGTGCTTACTCGATATTCTTAGGGCCTAGCCCATAGTAGTGGCTCAATAAATTATATCTTTCAATAAATAAAGTTTAGTACAGATTACTCGATGCTACTGTTAGAAAGCATCAGGGTGGATAAACGTGTAAATGCCAGGGTTTTCCTATCTTTTTAATGTAAAGTTCTCCATATTGGATTGTTACACAACGGACAAAATAGAACCTAAAAGCAAACAAGTATCAAAACAAAGAGTAACTGAAAATATCTTGAGTTGAAGGTATGGAAACATGAAAAAGCAACACACACACACACACACACACACACACACATATGCACACCCTAAACCATCTTTTCTCCCCCATTCTGTGAAAAGAGATCCTTAAGTTTGGTGAGAGAATATCAGGCAAACATTAATTTTTAGATTATTAGTTAAAATTAAATGGATGACTTCAGTTTATAAACCTAAATTGTATTCTGGCTAGAAAGTTCAAAGATTATAAATTTAGCTAAAATTTAGTATAAATTTAAGGAACTCACTAATATCAAAACAAGAAAGAACCAAGAAATATACAGGCAAAGGCTGAAGTAACATTATTTAACACTATTTTACTTTCAAGTTGGAAAATGAAACATGCTTCTGAACATTATTATAAAGAGATGCTGAGGTCAAACGTAGAGCTAAGTACATTTTTATAACTGATGTAAATTGGAAAAAAAACAATGATATACACTTTTTGGAAAATGTTTGCTTAGCAGTCTAATTAACCAAGACTGAATATTTTGCATTTTAATGCTCAGGAGAAAAATCACCAACTGTTTTGTAGCATGCCTGGAATTTTAAATTTCATTTTCTGGTGCCAGATTGAAATAAAAATAGGAAACATGATAAAGATTAATTTGATGTCAGAAGGGACATTTGCTCTTTAATTAGATTTCTGTAGCCCTAGCAGTTTTGTTGTGCCACCATAGCAAGTCCGAAAAAGCCTACAGCACCACCAAACAGTGATCCTCATATCCACACTTTACTGGAAACTAATTTCATTTCCTGCCTGTCTGGAGAGGTATTTTCAACAGGGCGTCAATGTTTTTTGTCTTCACGACTGATTTATTCATCAATCTCAATGTGATTTTTTTTTAAACCTTTAAATTACACCCAAATCCTAAAGCAGCTGTTTATTACACAAGGAAATTGAAAATCTGTCCATGTGATATCATACAAAGATTTTTTTTTCTTAAGGTTATAAAGGAAGTTGACAGATATTAATGATTTCTTCTCTTGACCTCATTCGACAATACAGTGAGCAGAAAAATAGGCGCAAAACTGGATCCCCCCAAAAAAGAGGTTCATGGGTTCCGTGTATAAAATATTATTCTAGAAAAAAAGTGAAACTATTACTCCTGGTGGACTATACAACCATTTTGTAGGATATAGTCATTTTCAAAAGGGTAATCAAATAGCTAAAGTAATACTGAAATATGAGACATTCTTTTAAAAATACAGTAGTCATTTACTTTCTTTTTTCTCTCTCCTTTGGGGTGTGTGTGCGTGCACGCACGTGTGCACGCACACACATGGAAACAGGATCCACATACTAGTAAGCAAACATCTTTGGACAAAGGTGTTTTGGATGATGAATCAGACAGGTCAAATTTTATCAACAGCTTGGTTGCACATACACCAAAACCATCACTTTTTTTTCCCCCATTTTATGAAAATAGGTCCTTAAGTTGGGTGAGAGAATATCATGCAAACATTTTTTTATTTATTAGCTAAGATTAAATGGGTGACTTCAGTTTATAAACACCAAATTATGTGCTACCTAGAAAGTTCAAAGATTGAAAATTTAGTTAATTCAATATCTAAATTTAAGCAAATCATAAATACCAGAAGAATCATGGACCAAGAAATCTACAGGCAAAGCCTGAAATTATTTTACTTTTAAGCTAGAAAAATGAAACATGCTTCATTTTCCTGGTAGACTGGGACAACATGTACAGGCTGAAGTCTCACTGATGACCTGAATGTTCCCAACAACTCTAGTGATTGTAGCAGATTAAGACATTGAGGGGTGATGGACTTTTTGGTCTTAATTTTAGTATGACTGACTTACGGGGTCTGTCAGTTTCCTCAATCTGCAGGCTCCTGCTCCAGTGACCTGCTGATGACTCTTACCCTGTCCCCATCTCTTTCTCCTCATTCACTTGCTACCCATTGGCCTTTCCATCTCTCAGGCAAGACAACTTTATAGTAACCTTGGCTAAGGGAGACTTCTATAAGGAAATGGATCCCTTTGCTTGCCATAAAAATTTTGATTTCAGAACTAACTGGGATTTACAGACCCTCCAAATTCTTGGAAGAAACAAGTTTTCTAATACAAAGGTTGCTATTCTACAAGAGTAACTAATAGCAAGGGGCAACAAGCCTAGCATTAAGAATTCAGGCTCTGCGTACATTTTGGGATCAAAATTTTGCCAAACACACGTCAGATAGTGCACGAATCGCCAGGATATATGAAGAACTCAAAAAACTTCACACCAAAAACCAAATAACCCAATCAATAAAGGGGCTAAGGAGCTGAACAGACACTTCTCAGAAGAAGATATACATTCGATCAACAAATATAAAAAAAATGTTCAATATCTCTAGTAATTAGAGAAATGCAAATCAAAACTACTCTAAGATTTCATCTCATGCCAGTCAGATGGCAGTTATTCAGAATACAAGCAACAATAAGTGTTGGCGAGGATGTGGGGAAAAGGTACACTCATACATTGCTGGTGGGACTTCAAATTGGTGCAACCAATCTGGAAAACCAGTATGGAGATTCCTTAGAAATCAGGGAATGGAACCATCATTTGACCCAGCTATCCCACTCCTCGGTCTATACCCAAAGGACTTCAAAACAGCATATTGTAGTGATGCAGCCACTTCAATGTTTATAGCAGCACAATTCACAATTGCTAAACTGTGGAACCAACCTAGATGTCCTTCAACAGATGAATGGATAAAGAAACTGTGATACATGTACACAATGGGATATTACTCAGCATTAAAAGAGAAAAAAATTATGGCATTTGCAGGTAAATGGATGGAGTTGGAGAACATCATGCTAAGCAAAATAAGCCAACCCCCCCACCCCGCCCAAACCAGGTGCTGAATGTTTTCTCTGATAAGTGGATGCTAATCCATACTGGGGGGGGGGGTGCATAGGATGAGTGGAGAAACTTTGGATGGGGAAAAGGGGAGTGGGGGGAGGGGAAAAGGAGTCGAAAAGATAGTGGAATGAGAAGGACATCATTACCTTAGGTACATGTATGATTGCACAAATGGTGTGACTCTACTTCGTGTACAACCAGAGAAGTGAAAAATTCTGCTCCATTTGTGCACAATGAATCAAAGCGCTTTCTATTCTCATGTATAATTGATTAGAACTGATGAAAAATAATAAAAACATACCTAATTATTTTGGTTTTGGTGTCTAAATGCCTAAAATAAAACCTAATTTTAAATATATATATATATAAATAAAAGAATTCAAGCTCTGATTTCTGAACAGATCCAGGTTTGAATACCAGCTCTGACTCTGTGAGTACATTATTTAACTCTGCCAAGCCTCAATGTCCTCATCTGTAAAATGAAGATTCCTTAGAAATCAGGGAATGATGCTGGTATCTGAACTATAAATGTTCTGAGAAGATGAGCTAAAAGTATTAAGGTCTACTAATACCTGTTAATAATAATAATGATGATGACGATGATGATGATGAATTTGGGACTACACATATTTGATTTTTCTTTCTGCCTCTTCTCCCACCGAATTTAAGCCTGAAATTTCATAGACGACTAGATACTAATTCTATAGGAGAACTGTGTTTACATATTTACATAAAGATCTGAGGACAAAGAGTAATTTGACTATAAAAGTGATAGCTGAATTTGCTATAATTTTTAGGTTTTTCCCTTCTTTAAAGACAAGTTTTTAGTATTTTTGAATACTGTATGGTCAACTGAGTTTACATGGTTTGCTCCTAATTTCCAAATTTTGAAATAACATCAAAATCCAAGTTAAGCTAAGATTTCCCACAAATGACTTCAATAATTGAGAAATGAGTAAGGAGGTTCTCAGACTGCCAGATTTTCCAGTTTATGCAGAGGTGAGCTACCCTTATTTCTTTCTTTATATTTTTTTATGATGCTAGAGATCAAACCCAGGGCTCGGTGTATGCCAGGTAGGTGCTCTACCTCTGAGCCCCAGATATCCATTTTTAAATAAAACTCTGGCTAGAATGTTTAGTTCTTAAAATTTTCAGGGTTCCACCAAATTTACTATTGAACCTGATTTTATTTTAGAGCATTTATTGGACTTAACTGGCAGATCAGTCAAGATGTTCTCATCTACAAGCAATATTTAAAAACATATATTGAATTTTCTATTATAAAAAGATCGATGGCAGTATGTGACATCTCAAAATAATAAATATACTCTACTCAAGAAACAGAACAAAAAGGGGATTAGAAAGATAAAGCAAAATGGGTATCTTGGGGAAGAAACCAATGATTATGAAAAGCAACTATCAACTGCTAGGATGATATCATGTTACACAAACCCATCACTTGTCAATTACATTATTTTTTTCATCAACAGATATTTGTAGAATATTTTTGATTCTTTTTCTCCATTTAAATAGAAGAAGAGAAAACACATGTCCCCCAGCCTTCACTAGATGAACAGATCCCTCTCCCAGCCCTTCAGAAGAGGGGTGCTGATTCTAAGTCTGGAGCTATGGTGCTTACTTGCTGCATGGTGGGTGAATGTAAGGCAGACTGGACCTGCATGGGGAGCTGGTTCCCAAGGGGCTGCTGCATGGCGAGTGGCTGGTGCTGCTGCATGCTGAGATGCTGGTGGAGAGGTGGGCTGATCTGGAGGGGAGGAGGGGGAGACACAGCCATGTTTGCTATAGAGACAGTCACTGGCATTTGGTTATTCGGCTTGGGTGCGATGTTCCTGGGGAGACTAGAATGCATGGCAGTTAGGTGAGGATTCATTCCAGGTTGTTGGTGATAGTGCGAACTTAGGTACAGAGCTGAGTGGGCCTGGCTGGGCCCATGGAACACTGACGGCTTGGAACTGATCAGCTGAGGAGCTTGAGACGTCTTAACATCGACAGGTTCACTGTAGCTCTGTGGAAGAAACAAATGAGAGAAGAATTAGGAGTAGGATCCATGGAACACGGATTTGATGAACAAGATGCTCTGTGAGCTTATGCACGAACTTTCGTGAGAATCAACACCCATGGCTATTCTTGACTCTCTTATCTAAGAATTCCTCCATCGTTATTTTTAACATAACTTATACAAGGCTGAGTTTAATTCTATCTCTTTTATGAAATCTAAAACAATCTGCAGTGACATTTTATTCCTTTGCTTAAATGCTAAGCTCTAACTTGTGGACTCTTCTCCTCATCCAAAGATAAAAAGATGGGGGGGGGTAGGAAGGATGCCATCATCAGTCTAATGGAAAACACAATATAGCTCACTTTCAAAGTAATTCAGTTCTGCAGTTCTCCTATTGATTAGGTGTTTAGCCCCCTCCCCTTATAGTCTCACGGAGCCTTGGCCTAGATATTTGCACAAAGAAAACAAAACTGGTTGCTGGAAATGGCTATGGAAGAAAAAGTTCTAAAATACCTTTCTGAAGTCATATAAAATTACATTAATATGGCTTCAAAGTAACCACGAAACTCATCTTGATTTTTTTTAAAGTTGATGATGAATTATCCTCCTTAATGAAGTGGATAAAAATAATCTCTCTTAGAAATTTTAGAATCCATCATAAATTAATATAATTTTGCCCTGATTTTTTTTCTGCACCTTCATAGGGTCATTTCCTAATAATCTTTTAATTGACTTCAAAACTCGACATTTCACTGGAAGCTGAAAAGAATAAAAAATTACCTCTTGGACACTTTTTCTCCTACTTTTGCTGAGAGAAAGAGACTGACCTAACAAATGGGGAAAGGTAAAATCAATGGGAAGAAAAAATGCTAAGATGTTGTTCTGGAGAAAATCACATTGTCAAAAGAAGGTCTGGTGCATGCAAGTATGCCCTTACTCTGCAACTTTAATGTCACTCTTAACACTTTCAGATGTCAGTTAATGTCTTGTTGGTTTTAGCACTGCGGGACTGCTGGCACTGTGAGGGTCTTCCCTGTCCCTCCGGCTCAGGGACCCACTACCCAGGCATTTGAAGAAACTCAAGCCAGTTAGCTGCATTATAACAGGCCAGCCTGCAGAACTGGTAGCCACCTGGTTAATCTGTCCTCAATAATGCGAACAAATTAAATTAAAACAATGATGCTGCATGTGTGCTCACTCTCGAGGTGGTGCTGGTCTGCCAGTAGTGGGTGAACTGTTAGCCCCATAACCTGTCTTCATAGCAAGGAGACATCAGATGCCTGTTAAAACACACCAAGCCATGGAAATATGGATTTCCATGATGATCCCCTGCAGAAATATGATAAGGTATACTCAAAGAATCCACGCTCCCCCAAATGTCTCATTAGGACATTTTTCTGTGTGTCAATGTTGATGCAGCCTTCTGAAATAGGAATAAATGTTTAGCCTTCCCATCTCCTATTAACATTAAAAATGTAAAAATACCATTTACCAAAAATTTTAAAGACCGACTTTAGACTAAAGAACTTTATTAAAGGTAGTACCTAAAAGGTACTTTTAATTTAAAAAAGTTTTTAGTTTAAAAATTATTTTTAAACTTTCATTTAAAAATTTTTATCATTGATGTGTAAGATAGTTAACAATTCACTTGAAAAGTCAAATGCGTTAATTGAGGTTGGGTAAACAGTGACTCCTTCTAAATCAGAAAAAAACACGTACTGCAATTGATAATGTCTCAAAAATTATTCCATATATGTCAAGATCATATGTTTATTGTGTGTCTCTGTGTGGAAGTCATCTGGTAAAGTGTTTTTGTTGTGTTTGGATTGTGTCTCTTCTAGCTTATTACAAAAGGGCAAACTTCATATCTATTCATGGACTACATCAACTTCATACTGGAAAGAAATGGTATCTAATACAAATTAATACATGTTGGTGCATTTTAATTTTTTTGCTTTATCATTGTTTTTAATTTACAAAGAATAAAAATAATTGGCATTTCTTATACAACCCAAACTAGGAAATGTATTTCATCATAAAATGTTTTCCTTTTTAGTTTCTATATATACCGTCTTACTAGGTAATAAGGTGATTATTGGCTACAGAAATAAAAATGTTGAATTTAAAAGAAATGGCGAATCCAATTTTTCTGAGTTTTCCTTTTAAAATAATAGCATGTAGTCTACCTTATAGCATCTCGATAATAAATAGGTAGATAGATGAGAGCTAGATAAATAGAAAAATACACATCTGTATTCATAGAAATAAATAGCATTCTAGGTTGAGATACTTTATTGTTAACCTTGTAAAGGCTCTCTTTGCTTATGGATGATTAAACACAATTTCTGTATTCAGACATTTGTCATTTACCTTCTTTATACCAAAGCATATAAAGACCAGTTCCCCCAAACCTATATTGAAATGATGGTAACTTTGAATCATCATTAGGACTATTATAACCTCAAATAGATTCCAAAAATAATGATTCAGATAACACTTGGAATATAATTTTTAACATGAGGGAGGAAAAGTTATATTTTTTCTCCTTTACTTTCTAAATCATTGAATGTGACATGCTAAACATCATGTTGAGCCACATCCCTATCCACGGTAGGCACTCCAATATGAGTTCTTGCTCTCTGTGTTTTTTTTTTTTTGAAACGTGAAGAAATGATTTTTCTTCTTACAGAATGAGGTAAACATAGAAACAGAGATGTTATGAATCCAGGAAGCAATTTTTTTTTAAATGGTGGGGACTTGAATCTGTAGTACATGAATACAGCATAGTGTAAAGTACATAGAGGATACAACATGTTTGTTGAATGAGCGAAGGACAACTTGGGGGCAGTACTGTATGTAGATAATGTTGTCTTTGCTGAGACTTCTCACTTAGTCATGACTCGGAAAACCTACAGAATATTGGATTGATGTGCCCCATTCTCTGCTCTTCTTTTAGCATGAACCACACACTTCCTAAAGTGTTGAGAAAATAAAGCCCTCAGTGTTGCCCTCTGACTAGGTACTCTGCACTTTGGGCCTCGCTGGCTCTAGGCAGGACGACATCAGTGGAGGAGCTTGCTGTGTTCCACCCACACTTTGAGAATTTGTGTCTTTTATATATAAAAGTCACTCATTTGGTTGGGGAAAAAGCTTGCTTCTACCTTCACTTCTGATTAATTATTAATCAGGCTAATACAATAGGCCATCTATTAATTACATAGCTATTTCAATGTTTTAGAAGACAGAACAAGTTCATTTTCAATAGCAAACAGCTATGAATCCATAATCTGATTAAATGGAAATATGAAGAAATCATAAACTTAATATACTCTCGCTGCCAGTTCCTTCCAATTAAATTCTGAAAGCAAGGCTATAGTTTTGCAAATCAATTATACTGCATTTGAAGATCTCCAGACCTACCATTCAGAAATTAGAACTATTTTCTTATACATAGTAAACAATTTAAATTTGTTTCTACTTTTAAACAGATTAATCACTTTTACTTCACAATGAGTATCTTGTGTTGGTCACCCGACAAATGTGATTTTTACCAGCATAAATTGAAAATTAACCTGTGAATCTGACATTTTTTTTTTTTAGGGAAAAGTATGTTCTTGCTCTTTGTTTCTAAGTATTTCCTTTTTTCTACTTGCCTTTGGGCCACAGATTCTGGAAGACATCAGCTATAAGCAAAAATGCAAGATAGGAGCAACAGAGACCATTGGGGTCTTATCTGTAGAGACTTATTTTGTTGTGAGTGAAATGCATAAAAGATACACCTCCATAAGCCCTAAGATATTCTTATTAACCAAGTTGATGTTATCCAAGATAATTTCAATCCCATTCACTTCCTATAATGAAGATAATACTGCACAGTGTATAAATGCCCCCATTCTGGGACGACCTGTGTTATAAAAATGAAAGATTGACAAAGTAATTGTTATTTAAAATAGCAAAGTATAAACACAAGACATAAAACTCAGTGGAAGCAACAATATAGGAGTTGCTGAACCAAATCAAATTAATAGCCCATCTAATTTGATTCTTGTTTTCAGCACTGACCAATACTTGACACATTGGAAATTAAACAAAATTTATGCACCTACTCAATTGTGCATTGTTACTTCTGGAAGGAAAATTCGTCCTGGTCCTTGCAGGTGATTAACTTATACCCTGAAGCATGAGATTTTATTGTCTTTAAATCACTATCTAGGCTTACAGAGCTGCAAATTTTATGTTAACAGTCATAAAATGATCCATCCCATTTGCAAATTCAGACTCTGTGTTTGTCTCAACAGCTCTCCATGGCATGAATTCTATGTTTACCTCATTCTGTATGAAGAAAAATCATTTCTTCACGTTTCCAATTCACTCTCCTTTAATGCAATCTGAGGGATTAAGTTTCTTTACTATCAATCATAGAAATAGAGAACTTCTTAATTTAATTAATATTGTTTTGTATTTTATATACATATAAAAATATGTATATTTTTATATGTATATATAATATACTTATATGTACATAATATATTATATATGTATGTATATATAATATATAATATACATATAAAATGTATATTGTATATACATATATATAGTATGCATATATGTGTTTTTTTTTTTAAGATTTTGTTATTTTGGTAGTTAATGAACTACTCCTTAAGGCAGAAACAAAAATCTCAATTTGATGTGTGGCCTTAAAGTAAATGAATCCTATTGCTTTTACTTAACATACCAGAATACAACCATCCAAATTCTGTCTCCTCCTGGGTTGGCACTCATGAGAAGCTGTACTCTTATTGCAATAATGCTGCCTTTTCTTGGGATATTTGGGAACTTCCCTACTGGAATTCTCTTCAGAGCCTGTGGGACACTGTTTTACATATCCTCAGACAACTCTTTGTCTTTTGATGGCAAATTTGATTTTTGGAAACAGCTAATAGTCAGTGGAAGCCAAGGCTGTGGGTTCCATGTAGGTGATGTTTGGGGAAAAGAATGAGATGTGA